AGATCTTATATTAAAGATATATTATTAGATGCCAATCTATTCGAAATAAAGCTACAATTTATACAATACATCATATCCAAGGTAAAAGTTCTCCGTCGTGAAAAAATAAAATGAAAAAATGATTTCTTTGAGCCTAAAAGGCTATTTAGCTATCAATTCTATTTGTTGCTTTGCGGTCAACCTATTAAGAATAACATTATAATTAATTTTTTTTTCGATACAGAAAATTTTATAATTATATATACTATTTGAGGTCAATATATTAGAACGAGCTACAATTCATCCAATTTCAATGTATTCAAAGTAAAACTACCCACAAAATAAAATGAGAACAAGCTTTCTTGAGCTTAACTTGTTCTATTAATCTTGATATGTTATTTTGATGTCATCTTAAGAATATGACTTACAATCAAGATAGATTTTATTTTCACCATTTTATGGTGGAAAATCCTAGAACTTTCAAATCCTTTTAAGGGATATGACAATAATTACTTCATATTATTTCACTATATCAAACTCACAAGTTTTGGATAAAAAATGAGTCTAAGATGTAATTCAAAACCTTCCTTTAAAGTGGAAAATCGTTATTTATGATATATTTTTTAAGGTTAATAAATTAAGAATAGAGACATTCAAAATGAAATGAGTGGACTATAATTGACATTATTTTATGAATTCGATAGTAGAGTAAGAAGGAACAACTCACCTATTACTTTCGTACCATCTTAATTATCTACCTCTTAGTCTACAAAGCAGATTTCATTAGATTCGAGGTAAATGGGACCAATTAATGTGAGAAAAAGCATCCTAGAGCCCAAAAGATGCTGTATAAATGGTCCCCAAGATCTAATTATCCTAATCTCCATTTTAAGCAGACACAACTAACAAACTGGGTTGGGTTGGTAAGAAGCAAAGTGCCCAATCTTTTAATTAATTCATTTCATGCTTAGCTTTAAGTCTCTATCAACCTCTAATGCTTTCATTAATTTTTACTAACTACTTGATTTGAGTTGACAGCATGAAATGAAAGCAATAATTTTGAATGGCGCCCTCTCTCACCCCACATTTCCTGCTGACTTGGAAAATGAATAGCGTCAACCCGTGATTTCTTTGGTAGCTTAGAAGGTACTGTGTTGAGAAACAAGAAGACAAAGTTAATATTTACGTGAAGTTTAGGAAATAATCATGTCCAATCTTGTACCAAACATGCTCCATAAGTTCTGTATGGTATATTTGCTCTAATTTTTCCCATAATAGTTAATTTTTTATTTTTTTTTAAACTGAAAGATATATTAATCTTAAATTATTCTGATATTACTTTAATACAAGTCATATTCTTGAGATAATTATATATGTTAGCTTGGTTGACAATATGGAACAATTTATTTATTTATATTTTATTTTTAACATGTCTATTTGTGCAAGTCAAAATTTATGTTTGACACGTGGAATTTAGAAAATTAGGAGGCAACGGGAAATTTTTCTAGTCTTATAACATATCTAACATTGTCAGCTAAAAGTTTCAAGTTGATAATGAAGATAATTATATATGTATTTGCTTTCTGTGTTAATGGAACATTTTTCTTCTCTACACTTTCTTGTTAATTCTAACTCAAAAAAGAGGAATAATATGTGCTTGTTCAAAATAAATAAATATTATTAAATATATTATAAACTCAATGATAGATAATTTTCAAATAAAAGAAGAGGCAGGTTTATACAGGCAAGATGTCCATGATATAAAAGGTCTATTATTTAGCGTTCTGTTGTGAAGGATAGTAAATTAAGAAAAAAAGTATGTTTTCCAACCATAACTGAGAATGGGTTTGGTTAAGGCTAATTTAAAAGTAATTACTTAAAAGAAACTTTGAAACTTAGCTAAATATATTTGTAACTTTGAAAATTAATTCAGTATCTTTCTCAAGCATGTTTGGTTTTGGAACTTTAAATACAAAAATATGCTATGCAAATGTATGTTTTTACATAATTTCTTAAACAAGAAATCTCCTTCTTATTTAGGCTATCATTGGTAGAGTTAATTGTGAAAATTAGTTCAATTTTATAAGATTGGCAATCCGGATATAAATTATTTAATCTTATCAGCAGTAAGCAACAAGTTTTTTTGCGCTATAAATGCTAAACATCAATTTTTAGGCATCAATTAATACTATAGTCTTACTAAATAGATAGTAAAATTTTAAGCCAACTAATTAGCATAAGCAAGTTTCAACGGCAATTAAAACTCGTTACAGATTAATTACTGTATTTTAATAAATTTATAAATAAAGGATCAGGTGCTCGATTTTTATTCAACAGTTTGAATTTACGAAAATTTTAAGTGTCAAAGCAAAATACTCACTTTAAACAAGATAAATTATAGGACCTGGTTAACTAAACAAGTTTATTATTATTATTTTTATTTTTATTTATTTTTTATTTTTTTAACCATAATGATGAAAAAAATTTCATCATAGAAATCACACTCACATCCTTGACACTACCTGAAAACGCGACAATACTGATTGGAAACTTTCGTTGGGATAACTGATGAAATATCTAATTATTTTATTCAAATAGAAATTTTATCCAATCATTATCGCATATCAATGGCTCATCGCAAAGGTATTTATTTGGCCTCAACATATTATTCATGTAGTGTATTATATGTTGTATACTTGTTGGAGACGACTTATAAAAAGGGTTATGTAAGGGTTGGTTTTTAATATATTTGTTTGATCAGTTTTAATCCGTAAAAGCATGATCAAAACATAATTTTGGATGGAAATTTGGACAGAGTTTCGGTATAACGATTACGCAAAACAAGGATGAAGAAGGAATAGAAATAGAGAATAATCCAAGTCGAGACGTTATCTATTTCTTTAAGACAAATTGCCTCACTACGGTGCTCACAGTGAATGACATTTGTCTCCCAAGATACAATGGATTCACAACTTGTTTAGCTGCACTTCAAACCACAAGAAATCGACGAACTTTTGACAGAATTTTCCCCCTACAAAGGAAATGTATGAAAATGCAATGGAATTAGAAAGGAGAGAATTGCAAGAGAAGAATAATTGCTCAATGCAGTTAGTGTACCCAAAATCATGTCCATAGGGTCTTATTTATAGATGTAGAAAGGATGCAAATGAAGTTGTGTGGGCCAAAACATGTATCCTTTCGAAAAGTTGTAACACTTCATTTCTTCCAATTTTGGTCCGCAATTTCTCATTCATCTGGAATTAGTTTCGAGATTTCAAATATACCATGACGATCTATTCTACGAGTAGAATAAGTTGTTCTATTTACTTTTGTAATTTGACTATTGGATCAAGTCCGAATATTTGATCGAAATTGACACGTAGTCACACCTTTTCATTTTCCACTTTTACACACTTTTTCATTTTCCAATTTTTGATTAATTATTTGAACCAATTCCTACAATACTCATGGATAATTATTTTAGTTGTAAAGTGAGAAGAAAAAAATTGATATGTTTGAATTAGTAGTTCACAATAAGCTTTGAATTAATTGTATGTTTCCATTCATTTCAAATTTGTGTGACTCCGTTAATTTGGGGAAGATTTGATTTATATTTTCTTGGTACCAACAGAGAAGAAAAATCAATTTAACTTACACTGGTGGCCTTGGAAGAATTATGCCATTTGTTGGAGCTTTATTTCGTTCATTCAAATATGTTTAATAATATAGGCTTTGTTGGCTGTGTTTTGATTCTATTTTTTCACTTTACAAAATATCCGGTATTTTTTTTACAATTAATGCATGTTTGATCCGATGTACATTTTACGGGCATATTAATTAATTAATTTGTTAATCAGTTTTAAATAATTTTGAATGTGAATATTTTCCAATTACAGAATATAGAATTATAAAAATATAAATTCTTTAATCGTATCATACAATGTGCAAAGCATGCTTATGAAACTAGTTTATTAACTTTGGTCTTCAACGTGCCATCCAGTGGATTTAATTTTTCAAACAAAAGTTGGCGTTGACATAATATTTATAGATGTATGACAATGATACTTGAACTAATGACTTTCTCTTGATTAATTCTAGTACATTTTTAATATATTAAACAATCTTATTTAAAATTTTAAGTTTTTAGTGAATAAATATTATTTAAATTTAATCTTTGAAAATATTTGTATAAAGTTACTAATAACGAAGCTAGTATATGTCAGCTAGATCACGAGCTCTTATATCTTTAACTTTTTTCATTTTTAACCGATTGGTGGTGACTTGTAATCTATTTAGGAGATATTTTATCCTTCTAAATTAAGAATTTAGAAACAAATAATTCACATCGACAATGAATATATAATAGGTTAACATTATATATGATAAACGTTGATATAAATTATTGGACATGATTCAATAGTACAATTCATTGACGAACTTTTTTCATCCAAAACATTATCTACCTTAGATAGCACCATTTTACTTCCAGTTTAGTCTATACATTTCAAATCAATTGTAGCTAGAGTAGAAAGCAGAATATCCACCTGTTTCCCAATGCTGACTTTGGGCGAAGTAAATCGAGACGAGGAGTGGTGATTATTAATCTAAGTGTTAGGTGTTTAATCTAGAAAAAAATGACATATCACTATATGACATGAGTCAAAACTAGGTACTTATAAGGTGAGAAGATAAAAGGGGTGTCCACACACTTTTAGCAATTTTAGTTATAAAATCCATATTTTTCCACCACAACCACCCTGTAGCTTTATTTTAGGGGCCACGGAAAATTAGGTTTAAAGCCAGCTTAGCTGTTCATCCTGATGACATTGTGAAAGTTTGCCGACTCATATTTAAGTGTAACAGATCTTTTCAACTATTGAGAGACATTCATTTGTCATTAAAGGCTTGACACGTAGAACTTTTAATAAATGGGTTAGAATGAGATTCCACTTGCGGCTAAACTTTTTATAACAAGATGAATTTGTTTATTCATATTTTATCTTTTATCTCTCTAAAACTAGATGAATTTAATTGTTTATACTTCTACACTAGTATGGTTAATCATCACTAGGAAACATTGACTGGTTGTATAAATATGCTTTCTAGGGTTAGGTTTTTCCAGAAAACACCAAGATGACCTAGCTCTTCCTTATTCTCTCTCTCTCTCCCCCCTCCCCGGTTCTATTGTGTCTTCTGAGATCAGTTTTGAATTTCTAATTATTACCTTGAAACTCAAGGGCATTTGAGAGAGTAAATTTAAAGAAGGAATGAAGGAGTGTCAAGCTAACCTGAAGAGTGATGATCACACTTCAAGGAGCTCTACAAACTCATTATTTACAATTAGGACTGTGAGATATGGAGAGTGCCAAAAGAATCAAGCGGCAAATGTAGGAGGATATGCTGTTGATGGCTGCAGAGAATTCATCCCATGTGCAGATGAGGGAAGCAATGGTGCACTAACCTGTGCTGCCTGTGGCTGTCACAGAAACTTCCACAGAAGAGAAGTCGAAACCGAGGTAGTTTCCGACTGTTCTTCCTCTTCTTCAAACTGCTGCAGATAGAGTAATTAAGATTAATACTACAGACATGTGACATAAACATCTGGTGTGTGTGTGTGTGTGTCTGTGTTTTTATGTTTTTCTTCAAACATCCACAGATGATGTTTGTCTTTCTCTTCTTTTCTTCTTTCCGAAATTCACCTGTGTGCCTATGTGGAAAGTCTAAAAAACCAAGTAGGGATAGAGAATGAGACGTGCTGATATTACTTCAGACATAAAAGGGGTAAAAATATGGAGGACTCGAACAGAACTTTTTGATTATTGTTTCTGCAACCTTTTGTGATCACAGATTGTTGTAAGGCGTTCTATGGAGAATGGACAGCAGTAATCACTATTATAATTATATATGGAAATTATTTCTGTTGAAGAGATATGCATCCTTGTTCTATTTTCATTTTCAATTAAGAGAATTATGGGTTATTAATTAATTAATTTCTAGCTCTTTTAAATGTATTATACCTCTAAATAACTTGCTAATATGAATATCATGGAATGGAATTGGAGGGATTTAAACTTTTACTTATGCTCATTACAAAAAGAAACTGAAGTATCTGAGAACTTAAAAAAAATCAGAGACCAACAACATGAGACATCCTATGAACAGATTCTTTCACGCGAGGTTCAGTTTCTGCCCCCATTGAGTCATTGCACATGCCATCCAAAAGAGAAGCAAACAAGTTTCTCCAAGTTCACAAACAAGATCTATCAAAAAGTCCCCACAGAATTCACTCTCCATAAAGAACACAAAAGGCTGCTGTTCACGCTTAATTTCTAAAAACGTAGACCAGGCCAACAATCCAAAACACTGCATTGACGTTTACCAGAAGATTTAAGCCATGAATCATTAAGAAAACAAAAGAATAAGAAGAAGGTTTGAAGGAGAAGAAGAGAGAACCAAAGAGATTTTCTCAGAGAGAGAATAGAGAGAGATTCGTGTGAACAGAATGAAGGGATTGAAAGACCTCAACTGACCCTTACCTCACTTGAGGTCCTCTCAGCCACTGATAATAATGAACGACTGAGATTGCATATACAAAGTATAACAACCTAGGATCTTATCATTGCCGAAATCATCTGGTGCCACTTGTCGAGAATTATAAACCATAATACTATTTTACCCAAAGCAATCAATTCAAAAAAAGAAAAATGAACCCTCAAGAATAAGCAAGATTTGTAAAGGCTCACTTTATACATATCCAATGGTACTTTTCATAAAATATCAACATCTACATAGCCCTGTAATCCCAAACTTGATTTCTAAGATATAAGGCTAAATCTGAAATACATATCAAATGTCTGAAAATCCACTTTACCGCCTCCCACGGCTGTTTTCCTGGATTGCTCATATATTTACTTAACTCCCATTACATGTGCTATATCTGGTTTTGTACATATACCATAGCATACTTACAACTGCTAATAATAGCCCATCGGGGTATATCCCAGTGGTGCAAAGGACAAGGGTGAGATATACTCACTCTTGCTGGCAGTCGTAGTGTGAGGGTTCGATTCCTAAAACATGGATTGTGACTCTTTATGGGCATCAGTGTACATGCAGCTTTGGTTCTCTGGTCTGTTGGGGCACATTCCGCTATTAACTTCTCTCGCGATACTCCAGGGACGAGACAGTGGGGGACCCTCAAAGTTGGGGTTCAACCTTTTTTTTACAACTACTAATAATAGAGGTATAAGGCACCTTAAAATGTTGGTTCACTCCTGCTCTACAGAAGGTAGCAGTTTTTTTGATAGCCTGAAGTGACTAGTCAAAGAAGTACTAACTGATTTTGCATCATCCATGCTGAATGTGATTAGAATTTTATTCACATACTCTTCTTATGATAATTTCAAGATGTCACTATCCTTAGTAATTCTCATACCAAGTTTTTTTTTTTTGCAATATCCAAGTCCTTCATTGCAAACTCTTTAGAAAACTTTTTTTTTTCAATGTATTTATTTTTTGTTTAAAAGCACCTGCAATTAACATGTCATCAACATATAGCAGCAAGATAATATAAGAGTTATCAAGGTTATTTACACAAAAGCAATTATCCACCTGACTCCTTATGAAAGCATGTTTGAGACCGTATAGACTCTTTTGAAGTCTACACACCGTTTTCTCTCTTTCCTGTACTTTGAAACCTTGTGACTGCATTATGTAAATTTCTTTCTACAAATCACTATGAAGGAAGGTTGTCTTTGCATCTAACTGATTTAACTGTTAGTTTTTCTTTACTATTAAATTAAGTACTGCTCTAATTATCGTTAATTTTACCACAGGAGAAAAAATATCAGTGTAATCAATGCCTTCCATTTTTATTTTTTTTTGAAATATCTTCATAACCAGTCTTGCTTTATATCGCTTGCTTCCATCATACTTTTCTTTTAATCGATGAACCCATTTATTCAATAAAGCCTTCGGACAATAATGAGTCCATCTTATCCTTGCTAGCTAACTCTTCATTTATTGATTCATCAACCTGTACAACGTCAATAGAATATTATGCAATACCGGAGAATTTCTCTATGGAGGTCTAATAGTTCCACTAGATCTTCTTGGTTCAGTGAAAGGGGTGTTTATGATGTACTTTAGGTACTATATTTTTTGGATTTTTACCATAACCATTCTCAACTCAATTACTACAAGAGCTTTTAACGGGATTAACTCAGGTTTCTTAACTTTAGAACTCGAGTTTTTATGATCAGTTCCCAACTTGTCCTTATTTAAAAACTCTAATTGAATATCACATCCTTATTCTTGATAACCTTTCAAGTTTGATCATCCTAGAAATGATAACTAAACTCGTTATTATCATACCCAATAAAGAAATACTTTTTGATTTACCATCAAGCTTGCTTCTTGCAGTAGAATCAATGTGAAGATATGAAACACAACCAAATACTTTCAAGTGTAAAGGTTTTACCTCTTTACAGCTTCAGACCTCCTCTTGTATTCTGCAGTTCAATGTTGTTGAAGAACCTCTACTGATCATATAAATTACACTATTGACAGCCTTAGTCCAAAACATCTTTAGTAATCCAACATGTAATATCGTAATTCTAGCATGCTTATTTAAAGTCTTATTTATTCTCTTAGCTACACCATTTTGTTGAGGTGTTCATGGAATGGTATTCTACATTTTTATTCCATTATCATGACAATATTTCTTGAAATCATCATTTACATGCCCTCCCACATTATTTGACTGCAAACACTTCACCTTCAAATTTGTTGTGTTTTTAACCATTGATTTCCATCTTATGAAGGCACCAAAACATTGAATTTATTCTTCAAAAAATAGACCATATTTTCTCAAATTGCAATAAATATCACATAATAATTGGGATTTCCAAGGGAAGTAGCAGTTGGTGGTCCCCATATACCCATATGAATCAACTCCAATTTTGTAGTTTTGGGCTCTTTTCCGATTTTAGAAAAATAACCCTTTTCTCTTATCGAAAATACAACATTCACACAAACTGTGTTCAACATATTTCAACCCTAATAACTTCCCTTTAGATTGAAGAACTTTTATTCTCTTCTCACTCATGTGCCCCAATCTATAATGACATAAATCAAAACTAACAATTGAATTAGCAACTACATAATGTCTCTACAGTTGGAAGCGATGTAAAGATTTCTAGATTTATTTTCTCGAGCAACAACCATGGCTCCCGTAGTAACTTTCCAAGCACCAACACCAAAAGTTACATTATGACCTTTATTATCAAGTTATCTAACTGAGATCAGATTATACATCAATTTAGGTATATGCTTCACTTTATGAATTTTTCGTACAGACCCATTTGACATCTTCAAACTGTCATCACTAATACCAACATATCCTTAGGTTCTCTATCAACAAAATATACCCTTCCATAACTCCTAACAACGTAGTTTTCCGTAATCTCATCATGTGCAGTGATATAAAAAGAAGTTCATGAATCCATCACCTAAGAATTAGTTGGACTGTCAATCGATAAAAGTAAAGCATTTTGCACCTCTTCAGTCACCACTGCAATTCTTCTTCATGTGGTTTAGTCATGCCACAGTTCTAGCTTTCTACATTCTTTCTAGAGCTAGACTTGCATCTAATATTCCTCCACTTCTTACCGTTGCCTTTATTGGAAGTTTTCTCGAAACCCCTTTCCCAATTCTTGATATTAAGGGCGGAACTCGATATCGAAACTTCTTCAAAATCTCTTTTACGGACTTCTTCAGCAAGAATATTATCATGAATATCACTGAATTTCATTTTCGCATTGGCTATAGAATTATTGGCTGCAGCTCTCATAGGCTCCCAACTTTTCGGCAGTGATGTTAATAGAATTAGGGCATAGACTTGTCATCAAATTAAATCTCGACTAATACCGATTGATTGATAATTGTATTCAATTTATTGAGATGTTCTAATGCTTGAGCACTTTCAGCCATCTTTAAATTAAATAATTTTTTCATAGGATGTACCTTGTTTCATGCAAATGGCTTCTCGTACATATCGGACAATACCTTCATCAAATCTAACGTGGTTTTCTCTATCGTCACGTTGTGACCAACATTCTTCAGTATTGTGAATCGAATAACACTTAATATACTTAATGATCAAGTAATTGTCATTCATTTGTTTCAACTTTTCATTCAAAAGAAAATGATACAGCTTTTGACTGTAGAGATAATCCTAGATCTATATCCTCCAGAAGGTAAAATTCATACCATCAAACTTGCAGATCCCTAGCAACATTCCTTCTACACCAGTCATTGCTCTCAATCAAAGTAAAAAAGCTCTAATACCAATTGTTGAGAATTCTAAACCCTCATTATATTCCACCAAGAACAATCAATTCAAATAAAGAAAAATTGACACTCAAGAACATACAAAATTTATAGATGTTCGTCTTAATGTAAAACTACATCTTCTCTCATTGATGTATTAAATTATTATGATGAAAAATCTTTACAAGAGAAAATCACACTCCTATTTTCTATAGCATCATTTTCTCTCTTTTTGATGAATATAATAAAGCCCAAAGATGGTTCCTTATTTATAAGATAAATTAGAACAAAACTGAATTATACAGGACTCTAGTTCGTTAATAGAATTTTATAAGAATTCCAATTCATAAATATTTCTTAGATTAAATTTTGGTTCAAGAAGCCTCCTGCCCCCTTCCAACCCCAAGACAACCTCATCGTAGAAATCGATTCGAGACCAACTCCGCGAAGTTGCAATAATTAGTTGGCAATAATTAGGCTCCACAATTTAACACCACTTGGCGACCAAATGGTCAAAGATGATGTGTAAGTGAAGCACATATTTTTTTTTTTCATAATCTTCACCTTGACCAAGATGCCATGGTCTTTGGTTGCAATGTGCT